GCCTTGTGCCTCGAGACAATCCTGTCTTGGAGGTCTACAGATAATGCCTTTGTCTTCATGATTGGTTTGTGCTTTGACATGCACTGTCAACCCTGGGACCTTATATAGCCAGGTGTATACCTTTTCAAATCATGTCCAATTAACCAACTGAATTTATCACAGGTGAACTTCAATTAAGCTGCTGAAACATCTCAAGAATGATCAGTGGAAACAAAAGATACTCGAGCTTCACGGCTGTGAATACTGATGTACATATGATTTTTCAGCTTTTTCAATTTTATAAATTAGCAACAATTTAAAAAATATATTTTTTCATATTGTCATTATGGGCTATTGTGTGTAGAATTCTGAGGAAATAAATTAATTGAATCCATTTTGGAATAGAACTGTAACAAAAATACTTTCCAGAAGTACTGTAACATAAATATGACATCATTTTCTGTGCTGTCATGATGTGAAATACCAGCATCAATTATGACACTTCATTGTCACTTGCAAATCCACTCCTATGAGCTCATTGAATAGTAAAATCCATCATATGCACACTTAAAGGCACAATATATGAACTTTTTGTTCTTTAATAAAATATTCATACAAAAGCAACACTATAACAATTATATAGTTTATATTATCCCAAATGTTTTGGAGAATGTTCAAATTCAGAGAAATAAGCAATTTTAACAAGTGAATATGTCCTGTTGCCATGCTAATGACATCAAAGCCTAAATTTCCAGAGAAACACCGGTTTATTAGTCTGAGCAGCATTATAACAGAACTTTAAAATGTAGTAAAACCACTGCTTCTTCCATATATGATCACTACTGGAAGATTGTGGCATAATAAAAACTTGGCTGCTTCTATGCCATGTCACACTCGTCTATCATCAGCAATCACTTCTGTGATCTTGTCTCGTTTTGACAGTTTCTCTGCTTCAAACTACCATTATAACTTTTGAATACTTTAGCTCAGTGGTTCTCAAACTGTGGTACGCGTACCACTAGTGGTACGCGGGCTTCCTCCTAGTGGTACGCGGAGGAATCGCCAAATAATTAAATAAACAATTAACATTTTTAATCCTTTGATGTGAACTATATTATCGATGTGATCAGCTTTGGCATTTTTGTGAAGCGTACGATCACAGCGCTGTGCTTAGAATGTTTATTTTAGTACAATTTGTCATAAGCTGCTGAAAATCAGTTTCCGAATTGATTCTGAAGCGTGATTTGACTGACATGAAAACTGGCCAATCACAGTCGACCTTTTTTTTTGTGTGTTTTTGCGTGAAACGTAAGGGCGGGACAAAGGCTTTCTGAGTCGCAGAGACAGAAAAAACAACTTAAAAACAAATGTTTTGTTGGAATAATGCTTCTCGGATGTTTTCACTATCGAGATGTCTTGCAGAGTGATTAAACCGCGGACATATTTCCTGCCTATTTGATGATCTACATACACGTTTCGCTCTCCAACAGCGAGTCGACTCGCCTCTGACCTGTCACTCCTCTATACTGTCTGAATGGCGGCGCGGGAATAGAGGTATTGCGCAATTACTCATTTCTGGAAATGTGGCGAGTGCTTTATTTTAACACGAGAGAGCGCATTCATGTACGCAAATCACTAAAACAGATATGCGAGCTCTTAAATAAGCTTTTTTTCAAATGAACTGCAAGTCCTGTCATGATCGCCTGTGTGCTCAGATTGAACACAATCGCGATCTGTTCACTATTAAAGTAGACAATATTTGTCTTTGTTACTTGACTAAATTTAGTCAAAAGTATTCAAAGTTATCAAGTATTTAGAATTAGATTGATGCATGGTCGATGACAATGCTAATGGTCTTCTTATTTGTCTGTATTGTAAAGTGAAACTTACTTTTAGCAAAGGTGGAACTTTTTTTATTTCTTTACGACAAAATAATTATGCTGGAAATGTTTCTGGATGAGGTATTTGTGTGATTTATACATTTAGCTGTATTCTGATCTGTCTTAAAGCATTACAGGTCAAAGCAATCCCTTGTTGCTAATTGTTTATTTAAAAATAACAATAAGGCTCTTAAAGCACTGCTTTGATAAATTTATTGTTGTCATATTTCAAATACCTCAAGTAAAATAAAGTCATTTGTTTTATTTTTTACTGAAAGTGTACTTGTGTTTTTTGTAAAGTTTGTATTTAAGTTTAAGATCAAGTGTAAAATAAAATCTACATGTGATGTACAGCTATTTAAGAAACAAATTTGCCATATTGTAAAGAAAAATAGTGTAAAATATGTAAATAAAAGGCTAAATTTAAATCTTTTCATCATATACTAAATAAACCTTTCAAAGGTTGAAAATATTGTTTTAAAAATGGGCAAAAAGTGTCTCTATGGCCTTAAAGATTATTTGGTAGTTTTACCAGTGCTATTGAAAAATATTAATTGTCATGAAAGGAAAAATTGACTATACTTTCTTTGTTTGTGCAAATTCCTTTACATATAGCTTTGGGATTTAAGCAATTAAACCATTCAATCAGGTTTACACTTAAAAGTGATTTCATAATGAAAATCTGATTTTGTTTTTTTCAAAAGTAACCAACTAGTACTTATTAAAAGAGTACTTTGTACTTTTACCTAATATTAGTTGTATTTCCTAAAATGTGTGTTATTTTAGCAGTGTAATAGTATTTTTACTTGAGTACAAAAATTTTTTTATAAGCATTTAGTGCAGGTTTATTATATTATTAATATATGATTAATAATAATAATAATAATAATTGTTTTTATTTGTATCAATTCCTATGCAATATTTTATAGGTTACTGAGAATACATTTCAATACATCTTCAATACATACATCTTCAATACATAGCATGTCAGTCTTAAAAATAAAAAAATAGCTGCTGGAAAAAGTGCTTAAAATTTCTTGATTTTCATTAGGCTGTGCCTGTATGAACCCTGTCATATGAACATTTAACATATATTTCAAGATTTGTCTGAAAGTGTATGAATATGCCATTTAGCCTATATTTATGAGGTCCAAGCAACATTTCCAGCTTTTGATGAATAGGCTCCTATGAATACTTTAGATTTAAATACAGCAGTTTTCCTTTTACTTTATCTATCTATCTATCTATCTATCTATCTATCTATCTATCTATCTATCTATCTATCTATCTATCTATCTATCTATCTATCTATCTATATATATATATATATATATATATATATATTTTTTTTTTTTTTTTTTTTACCTGCAAACAGTTAATGTTCAGACTATTTAAAATGTTTAAAGTGACTGACAATTATACATATTCTTAATAATAGGAATTAATCTGCCTCGTTTTCAAACTCTGCACAGCTGTAGCTGCTTAATTAGGCCTACGGCGCAATTTTTTAAATACTGGTCATTATGGTGGTACTTGGAGAGACAATTTTTTTCTAAGGTGGTACTTGGTGAAAAAAGTTTGAGAACCACTGCTTTAGCTCATGCCTTAACATGATTTCTGCAGGTGTCCCGTAGCATGCAATGAACATTACAACTTTCATGATTCTACAGGCAACACAGTGGAACAGTAAGTAGTGCTGTCGCCGCAGCAAGAAGGTCGCTGGGTCAGTTGACGTTTCTGTGTGGAGTTTGCATGTTGCGTTCTCGTGGGTTTCCTCAAGGTGCTCTGGTTTCCCCCCACAGTCCAAAGACATGCGGTACAGGTGAATTGGGTGGGCTAAATTGAGCGTGAATGAGTGTGAATGGATGTTTCCCAGAGATGGGTTGCAGCATATGCTGGGTAAGCAGGCGGTTCATTCCACTGTGGTGACCCCAGATTAATAAAGGGACTAAGCCGAAAAGAAAATGAATGATTCTACAGTCATTATGCCGTCATCAAGCTATGACTTTGTTTTGAATATGCGCCCTCTAGCGGCAAATATTGCATACTACGCCTTTAAGAATCTCGGTGGTACTTTTCGTGTACTATTTAATGAGCACTATAAATTTGCACACACTATTGTCACGTATTGTTTTCACCTGCTACTGTATGTAGTATTGAAGTATGTGATTCCAGGGCAGTCTGTCAACTGCTATGATACCTCTTCAAACGATGTGCATTTGTACTTTTTACATACTAATATCAATATGTTTGTACCTTGATATCTATTAGTACCAATAAAGTGACAACGCTTGTACCTTTATGTCTGAGATTGTATTACTGCATAAGGTTCTTCTGATTGTTTTTAAGAACTGTTTACTGTAAATTACCCACGATTTTTGTTTTTGATTCTCTGTAAAAAAAACTATTTAATTTTGTTAATAAGATCCCCCAAAAATGTCTTTAAAAACGAAATGCTGATGCTACAGTCCACTTAAATTCTGCTGTTTCGCTGACCATTTTGAAAAGTCCACGTGCGCCCTCTGTCTGTGAATGCTGGAATATGGAATAATCCATGCGTGTATTTTATCACTTAGTGATCCCCAAATATGACCAACCTCATCCAGACTTTTGGTTTATATTGTATATATTTATATATAAAAATATTAAATGGCCTTAGCTACAAGTACTTATTGTGTTAATAATGTATTATATAACACTTGTACAATGTAATAACATGTACATACATAATCAGTGATTTGTACCAAATTATCAATTTAAATGCAAGTACAAGGCCACTTAATATAAAGTGGGACTGATTCAATAATGCTATTTTAATATTAAGTATTTCTTAACTGATTTGTTTTTACATCAAACTTTATTTTAATTAAAACATATGTATTTTTAAATACTTTAGACAGTTTTAAATTGCTTTTTAATTGAAATACTTTTAAAATCCCTTAATTTACCTAATTTATGTTTCTTCTGAATGCTTATGCTTGCATATTATTAAATGTGTCTGCATTTTTTCCCACATATTTTGATATATTCTTCTACATACTTTCCACAGACCCCCTATATAACACTATACTTTGTGGTTCCCGGCCTACATAATTTCCCTAGGAAATAAAGAAATAAAATGAAAACACTGCAGATGTTGTGTTTATATTATAGTAATATTTATTGTACAGAGAAAAGTTTTAGATCCTCAAAGTTGAATAATATATGGCCCAAACAAACAAAATGGTTCTTCAGTGATGATGCGTCTGCTTAAACTGCAACCCACAGTATCCACATGTGCCAACTCTGGTGTCCTTGTCCTGTAAAAAGGTTACATGTTTATAAATTGTTTTATAAATGTTACATGAAACATAAAGAGACTCTTTTAAATGGGGCATTTAAACAACACCATATTCAACTAAAAACAGAAAACTGCGAGTGGCCTCATGGCAATTCATTTACATGACAATGGTGTTTTAAAGCGTCTGCTAAATGACTATATGTAAATGTAGAGGCTTGAAAATGTTAACCTTCAAATACAGCTTTTAACTTGAAAGTTTTTGAAAATAATGCTTTTTTCATCTTTGTTTAAATGACAAATGTGTGCTTATGATAAAATGTTACAGGATTTGCATGTTTTATGTGTTTAATCTACAGACATTTTTAAACCATTCAAATTGAGTAAATAGTAATCACTGTATATACACAAAAAATTTGCATATTACTTAATAACGTGATCCTGGCCTCTACATATTTATTTTAATCAAATTTAGAAACTGTTCTTATATGAAATACTTGTTTACCAAATTGATGTAAACTTTGGGGTGGCCGAGAGCCCCTCCGCCTCCATCACAGGACACCACCCTGGACTCTACATGTGAGACTGGTTCTTCTGCAACCAGGTTGATTGCAAAGTTCTCATTCACCTGCAGCATTAAAGATAACAATATAACAAACAATAAGAAAATCTATATATATATATGCTATCTTTGTGCAGCACTGAATAGTTCCCTTTACCTCTTTATGTCTGCCAACAAATCTAGCACGTCTCACATCATTTTCATCATAGACCTGCAATAAAAACAAATAGTAAATAGGAAAAAATATTAAGTTTTTCTTATAAAGTAAATCTGATGTCGGATCTGCTTAACATTTTGTAAAAGTAATATTGTTGATTAATGTCTATTAAGTTATTTAAAGTTTACCATGCAATACATAGTTTTAGGTACATTTTACTCTCTTTGAATGATTTTTCCCCTTAATATACACTGAGGTGAAGTGTATACTGAAGAGTAAATTTGGTTACTATCTATATTACACGATATTATGTACACAAGGGAAGTAATAAAGGTTTTTATGAATTGTATTGCTTTGACATTTTCTTAAAAAACATTATAAACAAAAAATTCCAAGCAAAATATATTTATGTTTTTGAACTTTAAACTATTTAAACCATAATTTCTACAACCTTTGATTCGGTAGCTACTAGAGTTGATTTTTTCGTAGTTGTATTTACTCTATTTAGTGAGTTTTATCATTAGGTTGCAACTAAATGCACAAAATACAAAATAACTGCTATAAATCGAATGGAAAAAAAATAGATCAAATACAAAAAAATGTAATTGAATACAAAAAAGGTTACAAATAAATCAAATGCAAAAATCGAATTAAATACAAAAAAACTGCTATAAATAAATTGAATACAAAAAATCTAATTGAATAGAAAAAACCTGCAACAAATAATCGAATACAATAATGGAATTAAATACAAAAAATGCTACAAATAAAACTAATACAAAAAATCTAATTGAATATAAAAAACCGCTACAAATGTTCGAATACAAAAATGTAATTGAATACAAAATCTTCTACAATTAAATCAAATTAAATACAAAAAAACTGCTACAAATAAATTGTATACAAAAAACTGCTACAAGTAAAACGAATACAAAAACTGAATTGAAAACAAAAAACTGCTACAAACAAATCGAATACAAAAAAATCGAATTGAATACAAAAAAACTGGTACCAAAAAATCAAATACAAAAAAAGGCGATAAATAAAACAAGTACAAAAAACTGCTAACAATTAAATGTATGCAGTTAAGTAGAATTGTTTTGTAAAATAACGTTGTTGATCAATTTCTACTTGAATTAAAGTTTACTGTGCAATATCTAGCTTTAAGTACATTTTACTCTCTTTGAACGATTTTTTTCTCTCAATATAGCACCAACTAAAGTGAAGTGTATACTGAAGAGTAAATTTGGTTACTATCTATATTACACTATATTATCTACACAAGAGAATAAAGGTTTTTATTAATTGTATTACTTTGACATTTTCTTAAAAAAACACTATGAACAAACAATTCCAAGCAAAAAATATTTTTGTATTTGAACTTTAAATTATTTTAACTGTAATTTTTACAACCTTTAACTGGGTAGCAACTTGAATTGATTTTTTTCTGGTTGTATTTTACTCCATTTAATCAGTTTTATCAGTACAATGCAGTCTTTTACCATTAAGTTGCCACTAAATGCACAAAATATCAGCTATTAATGCTTACTCTATAGTCTATTACGCCAGATATAAGCCTCAGTTCTCACAACAAATGCTAACAGTAATAAACAGACGTGCTGCACAGTGTCCTTTAGATCCAGCCTCACCTGTCCCGTGTGGGTAATTATTTCTCCATGGTTAGAAACCGGAACACTGTACTGCTGAACTGGAACTGCTGATAATCTCAAACAGTTGAGCAAAACCTTCGTATTTTTACCGAAGGACAAGATCCTTGGAAGGATGGCTGCCATGTTTGCCTGTGATCATTACCCAGCAGCCTTTGCTTTGCTCTTCATAACTCTCTGCTGACCCCTGTTGGTCGGCAACAAATTCATTATTTTATAATTCTTTGAATTGTTCGTATAAACGAGTTCCTTTAGAGTATATTATGCGCCTGTACTTAGCAGATCCATTGGGTATTTTATATATCCAAACAAATCTTTACATACACAGGTTTGAGGGAAGATTTCGGAGAGTATAATGCGCATGCGTGCGGTATGACTTTCCCACAAAGTCATTGCGTCACAGGAACTGGATGGGTTTTCTTGCGTCTGAAAAGCATGCTACCCTCGCACTGATGTATCTTGGATAAAAACGCTTAAATACACGCGTTTCTATCTGCATATTCAGACAGGTATGCATTAAATATATTTAATTGTTGAAAATATTACTGCAACTTCTTGAATTGAACACGTTCACGTGTTTTAGAACAGTGTTTGGCCTGCAAAGCTAGTCAGCGGCCCACAACGTGAGACTTTTTCCAAAAAAAAAAATCATGCTAATTGTCTTGTTAGCAACGAAGACTTGGACGTTTTTGTATTTGTGAATAAGATTAGAACATTTATTTTGGAATGCTCTGAATACTAGCTGACAGTTATGGGAGAAAACATTTACATGCCAACTTAGCTTTTAAAGGGTCAAGTAAATATTAAGTCAAAAACAATTTTTACAAAAATTAAAAATTGACATTGACATCTCTTGCTTTTTCTGTGAAAGCTATAGACATGTTGTTTTGGGGTTTTATATTAAAGGAAGCAATTCCTTTATTCAAACTTTTTGCATAAACTTTATTTTAATTATTGGAAAGTTTTTTTTCTATACACAATTGCAAATATACTCATTGTAAGCCTATTTTTTATTTTTTTAAACGAGAACTAGCTCTTTATTTATAAACCATCACAGACTCTCGCAACAAGAAAGCTATTAAAACTTTATAAAATATGTGTTTTATTTGATATTCTGCAATAGTTAGTTTTATCCTTGTCATGTGCCCTTAATATTTCTTTTTTTCTTTCTCTCGTTGTCTTTATTTAGTTTTACCTATATTTGTTTTAATTTTGTTACATTCCACTTATTTCAAAAAGTAATATTCCTATTGATTGTACCATACTACTTTCAGTTTTGTATCTGTATTTGTTGTAATGTACTGTTATTATTGCAATAAAATAAATAAATAAATAAAAATAAATAAATATTAAGTCAATGTCAAAGAAGTATATATTATTATGTAATATGAAACATTACTACTATATATATATATATTTTTTTTTTTTTTTTTTTTTTTTTGTGTGTTTGGGACAATAATCATGATGAGATTCAAAGACTTTAAACTGTGCAGCCATTTACCAAGGTAACGCTTCATAATTTTAACGTTACTACATGTCTGAGCATTTATGCTGTTTCATTTTTTTCATTAATATACATGTTAATCTGAGTGTCAATAGTGCAATACTTACATCTTCCCTCACAAGATGCACATTTTCTGGAAGGCACATAATATGTAGGAATGAATTAGTTTCTACATTTTTGGTTAAGCAAGTATTTTACAGTACTTAAAAACTACTCAAAAATGTCTTTGTCAATGTTTTTAAATTATTGTATTTAATATAGCAAAGTCACACAGGAACCAATTTCACATCTGTTACATCCATAACAGAGAGGTGCCTATCTATAACGAAACTTAATAATAAATGCAAAAATGTCAAATAAAATCAGATCTATAATGTTTGTTCGATATAGAGCAACTTTTATCCTTTTGAGTAGCTTTATTTATTTTGGGTTGTGCAGTTTAATTCACAGAATTTCTACAGAGTATGTTGTAAACTGTAAACTCCAGACTTTTTTTGGCACATGATTCATAACGCATGTTTACTTTCCTCATTAATAATACAAAAATGTTTACAGATTGATCCCATAACTCTGTGGTTAGTTGTTTGGGAAAATATAAACAGATGTTTCAATATAATAACATATACTTTCTCCGTAATTTAAGTTTTAAATTTTAACTGCAAATGTCACCCCATAACGCTGGAATTGCTCATTTAGTGTCTTATTGAAATACAAATAACTTCTTGGGTGGTCTGACGGTGTCCAACCAACAAGAAATCTTCCCTTTTGGAGGAACTTTGCCTTTCAAAAAAAAGTTCACCCAAGAATCAGAATTTTCTCAAAGGGAAGGGTTTGCATAAAAATGGGAGTTTCATTACGTACGCAACAACTTATTTGCACGCCAGCAACAGAAACACCGATTCAGGGGAGACAGACAGTGATTCGGAGAGCAGTGATACAGTGGATCTGATTAGGGCTGCACGATTCTGGAAAAAATGTGAATCACAAATTTAGTTTTTTGCTTAAAATCAAGATCACAATCTTTCTCATGATTCTGTAATTGTGAAATAAAGGTTAATATGATTAGCCTATTATTATTGTTAATTCTGAAACATATTGTAAACAACAATAATAACAGGCCTATGTGTAGATCTACTGTTGCTTAAAATGGTATAGTTTGTATTATGGTGGACTTAAACAGACTTTCAATATGTCCTGTTTGTTAATTTACAGTAAAATTATGACATCAGAATACAACTATTCATAACTATAAACTTGAATTATTATGTTTGAGACATGTGCTTGTCATCTGTCATTGACAACATTATTAGACCATTATATTTCCATTATATATATATATAGACTAGGGTTGTTATACTGACACAGTAAACATTTATTTTCATGCACAATTCTTTGTGTTGGCTATGAAAGAAAAAATGTATCAAATGCTTGTCGTAATCATAACTCTAAAATGCGATATGATCATTTAAATGATGTGCGCACAGGTTTCACTTTCACTTCCTAGAGCGTCTCATAGCTGCTGTCACTGTGAGAAAAAAAAAACACACGTGTAAATCAAACCTCCCGCACGGCCCTCAAACGATCGCTCTGTGCAACAAACTGAACGTTATTTACAACTTCATTACATGTTATTCACAGTATATGCAGGTTGTGTTCACAAGTAAGCGTCATTTGCGTGCACGTGCGCGTTCTCAGCAGTAAATAAACAGTGCGTCAACTCGTGTGCGATTTTTCGCGAGCGTGAATACATTATTACATGAAGACAGAAATGACATTTTGGGGTGAATTATACTTTGTAAATACAGTATGTGACACTATTAACACCATTTGAAGGTGTCCATGTTGCTGTGAAGACCTCTACAGCCGCCTTTTCTTCTCTCCTGACCTTGAAAATATAATTGGCTGAATCGTAGAAAAAGCGGAATTGATCGCGTGTAGGGTCGAATCAAGATTGTTATCTTTTTTCGATTAATCGTGCAGTTCTAGATCTAATAACTTTTCATCTGAATACACATAAAAACATTAATCATGCTCTTACCAAATTCTTAGAGAAAGACAATCAACACGAACTGGTGGCAAATCTGGATTTCACCTTTCCCCTTATAAAACAAACTAACCTCGCGTGTTAGCAGGGGAACACATGCTTGCGTTGCAGAGAAATGGAAACAACACTTTGGTTTTGGCACACTTTGAGACGGAACACTGATGATCCAAGTTTCTGAACTTGTTTTTCATCCATCAAATTTAATTGTGCTTGTAACATCATTTGGACCATGCTTCTCTGAACTCCGTAACAGCTAAAAAGTGACGAAGCTATCTCATCCATATTAATGAAGTTTCATCTCATTCATAATAGAGCATGCTGATTGGTTCAAATCAACTCTTCCACATGAATAATACACAGACATGCTGAAAACATGATTTCACTTTGTACTGGCCAGTGCTGATGGCTAATCACAACGCTGGAATTTACACAATGATCTAAGCGTCATGATGTAGCTTCAAAATTTATTTTCAAACCGGAAGAATAAATTTTCTTAAAAAAAAAAAAAAAAAGCAAAAGCATGTGTTTCCTAATAACATGTGTAATAATAGTGTTTTTAGCAATGTGGCACATATATGTGACTGTCAACATCTTAAAAATGTTTTAGTGTTTCGTGACTCTTTAAAGAGTGTTCAAACTATTGAATTTCACACTAGCAGAAAACATAAACACAATGCAAGTTAATGGCTACCTGTTTCCAACATCCATTAACATTCTTTAAAATATCTTCTCAGTAAAAAGAATCTTAAAAATGTTTATAACAAGAGAGTAAATGATGATGACATTTTTATTCTTGTATGAACTATTCCATCAAGTTACAAAAAATGGGTCAATTTATTTTTTGATGTAATTAATGTTGTTGTTTTTCTCAGCCAGGTGTTGACATCATGTTGCTCCGCAGTCTTGTTGGTTCCCTGACTCGTCAGTGGTCCCAATTTGCCAGATGTGCAGCTTCCCTCTCCTTACCTGCAGTAGGAGCACAGAGATGCCTGTCCACCATCACAGCTGCAGCAGTGCCGTTTAGAGCAGTGGTCAACCCGATGTTCAAGCCACACACAGCATTCCTCTCACCGCTGCTTGGACGATGCCAGCAGCTTCTGTGTGTTCAACCATCTGCTGGCATGAAGACTAAAAGCGCTCTTAAAAAACGCTGTAACGAATGCTTTTTTGTCCGCCGCCGTGGAAGACTGTTTGTTTTTTGCAAGGCCCATCCCAGACACAAGCAGCGGCAGGGCTGAATTAACTCAGACCTTAAGTGTGTGTGTATAATTGTTTAATTGCCATTGGCTGCTTCACAAATGAAGAATCACTTAAATGGTGTATTGAGCATATGGAGATCATAAAGTTTCTAATAAATATTGACAGGCTGAAAAGATGTTCTAATGATTTTGGAGTTATTCACATTTCATATATGTTCAATAGGAGAGCAGTTAAAGAGATGGAGTGTAACATTTGGCTTTTTAAATACAACTGCTTGATTTTTGCAACTGCTTGACATGTCTGTTTATAGATGTGACACTACATTGCAGTTTAGATCTAAAATAGAACCACTTTGGACACTTAAAATTAAAACATAAAATTACACATTTTGGAGGATGAAGGATTCATGATGTTACTCAAATAAGTCAAACAAAAAAGCAAAACAAACTAACAAATTACATGCTGCCTTTTCTAGCCTTATTTACATTAAAATATTATTGTAAAATAATATATATTCTTAAACTGGAATTTCTGGATGGTTTTTGTGCATTTTGAGTCTTTTTTTTTTTTTTACTTACATTTGTTAAATTGCAGTTTGGTTTGCATTGATTTTAGTTTGCCGTCTTTCGGATAAAATGTTAAACTTAGGTCCTAACTCTCTGTGGTCATTAAAAATCCCATGGGACTTCTCGTAAAGAGTCGGGATGTGGCCGATGTCCTGGCCAAATTTCCCTCCATTGGCCACATGGCCTCCCAATCATCCTCATCCACTGAATTGACTAACTTCTCCACTAATAGCTGGTATGTGGTGGGCGCACTGGCGCCGTTATCCTGTGGCAGTTGTCGCATCATCCAAGAGGATGCTGCACACTGGTGGTGGAGTGGAGAGACCCCCCCTTATGACTGTAAAGCGCTATGAGTGTATGGCCATACATGATAAATGCACTGTGTAAATACATATTGCATTACATTGATGGTTAAAATACAAATTTATTTATTTTTTTTATCAACATCTAAGAAGTCAGTTTCTGACTAATTGATTTCAAATCTATTTTTAAGCACACATTTGTAAATGTGTCAGGTTTAAGGAGCATTTGTGAATTAAATGGCAAAGAACTTAACGCAATTTTTTTTTAATTGAATAGAAATGCCAATGTTTTGAGGCCCAAAAAGCAAACAATAAAAAAAAATCTTTCAAATCTTCTTGCAAATGAATTTATTATGTGTTATCGCAGTTACATGCTGCTAGTTAAATTTAACAAAGTTCCATTGCTCAGCATTATGGAGTACATCCCATTTTGTACAGGGAATATACGCAATGCATCTTGGGTGCATTTTAACAAAACAGGGTTATTAACAAATTTATTAAAATAATATTTGTCACCAAACATATGAAAATTAAAAGATAGTACAATTAAATTCAAGCAAAACACTACGAAAAAAATACAACATACACCTAACTATTTTTTTGATTGTTTGCTACTCTTGAGTTTTCCTTCTTTTAAATTTTTTCAATAACAAATTTGGGTGTGGTAGTTTTTGGACTGTTATTGTAAGCTATTTTGTTTATCAGCTCCAGATTTGGCTTCAGTACTGACTAATCTAATGTATGTGCACAAATATAATATTGTATAGCTTCCTGTTAAAATATGAATTTAAAAGAGATTTGTGAGGGGTGTACTTGAGCACTTCATAAACAGGTGGTGTTTAGAATATAATTAAATCTGAACTGCATTTAATGCTCACTGTCTTCTCAACTGTCTTTCATTACCAATATAATCAGCAACAGTTCATATAAGTGTGACCTAAACAATTAATTGTCTTCTGTTCTTCAGAAATATCGTACAGCTCTTGCATATAGTTTGATCTTCCTGCATCTTTAGATTTTTTTTACCTCTTTCCAAAAGTTCTAGTATGATTTTGACATCAGCACTTACTTAAAATATGTTAAAATAGTATTTTTAAAGCATGCATTTTTTAATCTATAATGAAATACATTTTTAAAGTAGCCTCCATAACTTTATTTCCCTGAGGTTTTGATTAGGCGTTGCTAAGTGTTGTATGTCGTTTGCACAGCAGAGGGCGATACTGCATCGCAGAGACTTTTCTAGACATAACTCCTGTTATGTTTTTCTTTAGTCTTTGCAATTAGTTTGTAATATAACGTCCACGTTTTAACTCATATTCTCAAAATTTCATATAAAGCACTCTAAACAAACAAATGAAACATGTTTGAACTTTAAATGATATATTCAAGAGGAGATAAAAAAGCTTATATAGATTCTGAGTTTCTTTTTTTTTGAGTTACAAATAAAGGTGTCCTGAGGAACAAAAAAAGTTGTTTTATATTTGATTGATGCCACAGAACCCCCCCACCCCCAAAAAACGCCTTTCATCTAATATTTCTTTATTGATCATTTTATATAATCTGAATCTAATTTTAGTAATGCACATAACCCTTTTCACTATAAAGAACTTAATAATTATTTTTATTCCATAGATGTTAAAGGTCCCTCATATGCAAACATCTATTCCAATAGCCTTTATTTTAAAGAGTGTGGTCTCTAGCACTGAACAGAGGAATGATCACGATTCTCGACACTCCTCAGCTGTGACCGTCTGTGGAAAGTTGTTATGCTTACAAGCTCCCAGCGGTTTAAGCACGTGCACTGTAAATGATTCTCCAGGCAATTGAGCGGGGATTGTTTTGAAAAACACTGACAGTTGTTTTTCATAAACCGTCAGTCAACAACCGTATAAATATATACAAAAACAGACGCGAGAAGACCAAATAAACTACAGATTTACGACTAAACGTCAGTATCAACAGAATGCTTTTGGGAAGACATCTCCGACTGTGATGTCAGGACTTGCGTTTATCACGCATGCGCAAAACGAAAACGCGCATGATGCTGTGAATGAACAGGAGAAGCCGAGCACCGGTGGCTTAAAAATCGACTAGAAGCGCGTGTAAGACCAGGAAGTTGTGTAGTATATAAACGGAACACTTTGTGGAAGCATTTTCTCGTGGACTTTATATATTTTTCTTTTTAAAGGTACATATTACTGCTCCAGCATGAGGTTCCCAAACAGAAAACTACACACGGCGGTGAACGGAGGAGACTCGGGCGTTTCTACTCACTTTAGAAACCCTTTCGTGCACGAGTTGCGGTTTACTACTCTTCAGAAACTCAAGGTAAAGTCAGTTCACTGCTTTTTAATATTGCAGTTAAACCACGACTGGGATTTTTCCTTTCCACACAATACATTTCGTGAAGAAAGTGTAATCGTACGTAAAAATCTACTATTTCCCGTTACATTGCGTTAAATGATGTTTTAGCTAACATTCAATCAACAGTCGTGCATCATCTGGCAACAATATGCATACTTTTGTAAAGTAAGCTAGTGTAGAAGCTACAGGTTAATGGCATTTAGATTACTATTAGCAGTTGCTTTTGTTTTTTTAGTGTTCCATCACTTCTACATGCACATTTTGATGTTGTTATTGTTTATTTAGGGAAATTTTTTTTTGGGGGGGGTAAAGATGACCTACTATTATCTTTAGACTGCGAGAGCATCTAATGATGTTTTTTTCTACATGGGGTGTGTCGCGTAATTCAAAGCGATATGAAAATCATGTGAGTGTCCCTTGTTTGAAAAAAACATTGCTTACGGGGTTTTCTGCTACTTAGTTTTATTTCAAAGTCTGTTCAAATGTATTCTGTAGTAGAGTAACCTGTTGTTTTTGCAGAGAACATTGAGTGGAGGCAGGTCATGATTGACAGTGCTGCCCACAGGCTAATATGGTCCAACACTAGATCTGAAACAAGGTCAGAAATCTTGAAAAACTAAACTGGGGTTACTAAGATCAAAAACTTATAATAAGGTAATACATAAATACTGATGCAGTTCTGTAGAAAAAAGGAGTAAAATCTATTATTAACTTGCACAATGCAGCCTATAAGATCATATAGTATTTTTTGTTTTTATTTCTGTGTCTTAATGGATCAAGTTATGTCCATAGGGCAATTTTTATTAATGATATTGTCATTTCACTTAATGAAAGAAGAAAAAAAAAAAACTTCCTAGCACTTTATTCCTCTGGTGCTTGTTCAAAAGAAACACTAACTAACTAACTAACTAACTAACTAACTAACTAACTAACTAACTAACTAACTAACTAACTAACTCAGGTAGAATTAGGTAAGCTAAACTGTCCATAGTTGCGTAAAACATAATTGATCAGTTGCTGCATAAAACATATGCTGGAGGAGTTGGTGGTTTATTCCGCTGTGGCGACCTCTGATTAATAAAGGGACTAACCCAAAAAGAAAATGAATGAATGAATGTATGAATGAATGAATGAATGAAATGTGAGGTAATTCTTATCATTTATTCATTCTTATCATCATCTTACCATTCTTATCTCAAATTATGTGCATATTTATTTTTTCTATTCAGCCTTCACTTTACTAGTAATTCATCTAGAAATTTCATATATTTAAATTCCTAAAATGTGTGTATGCATCACATTTAAAATCATCTAATTGTGGATTCACATTTGGACCAATACGTGAAAACAAAAAAAACAGGATGTGATGTCACATGATATGAGACCTGAAAAGGGCAATGTTGAAGCATACCTGTTTTTTTTGTCATCACAGGAGCTGCATTTCTTCTTACTGTTCAATATAGGGGCAGAGATACTGATTGTTTGTTCCATATCTTTATTTGTGTGCACCAGAGAAATGTTTTTTTTTTCTTTTTCTTTTTCTCTTCTTTTCAATGGTCCTATAGGTCCATATGTTCCCGTAGTCCACCATTAGAAGTATTCTTGTGTACAGTAAAGTTAGACACAGTATGTAATATGCATGCTCATCACGTTACAAATTAATTTGTATTTTTTTTGTGAAAAATACTTTTCAACATGACAGTTAAAAAAAAAAAACAGCATTCAAGTGTTTGCTTTTTCAGACCCCCCAAAATGCAATTATCAAATAAATGAACAGTCAAAATGCATAAAAAGCTTTCAGGTTGTAGTTAATATTGTATAAACACTCATGTTGTTTAAGGTTTTCTGCTTGAATGCAGTTCTTCACCCTGAGATATCACTCATGCTAGAAATGCCCTGCTCTCCCTGTTTAACTGTCATCTTGATAATCGCAGCCTTTCCTGTTGTTTGTGGCAAATGGAAAGCGAAGACATTATTTGCTCTCATACAGGAAATCCACCAGAGCCACTGATCTGATAATAGATCCACTTATCCTCACATTTCAGCAGGTAAAGAGACCCATCGAGAGGACCATATGGTCACATTTCGTAAATCGGACAATGTCCGATAGTTGTTTACCAGGAAATGGTCAAGTGTCTGTTCTCTTTTTGGTTCCATTAGCCTACTGCTGTTTTCTAAATTTAACATTCTTACACAACAGCAGTTTGAAGGATGCAAAGATGAGCTATGATGATTCACCCGATTTCCATATGCCTCACACTCAATGATAAATGGACTTTTGTGCTATCACACAAGTTTTTCTTAATGCACTCATGCCCGCAGGTTATGGTCTAAATGCTATGGAAATACTGTATTTATCACACATGAGTGCATTTGCCATATCAGAAATCTTTTGTTTACATTTGCAGTTTGGTTCTCTTGGCCTGGATCAAAAAAGCCAATAGTCATTGGTTCTGCACAGTATGGTACAGTTCGGCACGGCTCAGCTTGGCTCTCTTTGGTTTGGTTTTGATTAGCTTAGTCTGTATTTCCTATGTAGTTTGGACTGCTTAAAGTGGATTGGATTATCACTGTAGTTGCCCTGCCTAAAAACTATTGTTTAATTTTTTTTTAGGTTTAAATAGGGCTCTGCGATTATTGAAAAAAAAATTTTAATATCATTTGGTTTCGATAATTATTGAATATTTTTTAACAAATCATTTATGAATATTAGGATTTTTTTTATTTATTTAACCACTTTTTTTAATTTACCAACATTACTAAGGCAAATAGTTTTAAGTCATAGACAAAATATCTTATCTATATATAACAAAATAAACACAAGTATTAAAGAGACTCTTAAGCTTGATGAAATGTCTCTAAGTGTGTGCAACGGTAAAGTGTAATTGCTTAAAAACGAAAGCAAACTTTAAGATGTCAATAATAATGATACAGTAAACCAAAAATTTTGTAAACAAAACTAATTATGATAATAAAATCTGAGCTTTTTAGTGAAGGAACAAGCCATCATTATTCAAATACATATTGCAACATTACAAAATTTAAAGTTGAATGACTATATTACCTTTTATGCTAAAAGATCTTTCAGATGGGGAGCTAGTGGATGGGAAAAGCCACTTTGGCGACATTGTTGGATCCTTTTTATTTACAATCTCCTCACTGCTGCTATACAGCATTCGTTTTCTCATATGTTGTTATTCTACCCTGAAGTGAAAAGCGCAAACGTGGGGTTTCTTTCACCATTTTCAATGCACTTTTGCTCCCCTGGCGTCTCTTGTAACTAGGAGACCATCAGACATTTTCTCAGAGAATGACAAATGAACAAACCATTGCTGCAGCAATGATACATGATTGTGGAGGAAAGTAAAAGGCACTGCAGTGTTTGGATGCACTGTGTTTGTCTAAGGTAATTAGTCAGACGTCATTACTGAAAAGTGTATGTTCCATACAAAGTGTGAAGCAGTTTGGTTTATTCTATTTGCATGAATCATAGTGCGCTCATGGCATTCAGTAAAGTTTAGATGTTTTTCAACTAGGTAAACCTGGAAAATGCGTGTGTGTCATGTGTGCGCCGTTTGCATGTGCATGTCATGCAAGTCGCACACCTCCATTGTGAATGACAACTTACACCCTAAGCTTATTGACTTTGCTTCCAAGACATGTGCTTAGCAGCCGCTTTTTAATAAATATATGGCTTTTTAACCAAAACTTCATACAGAACTTTTATCATTATTGAATATGGTGTTATGTCATTTTCATCCACTTATCCGGGCCAGGTCACGGGACCAGCACTCTTAGGAGAAACTCCATACAGTATAACACTCTCCTCAGACACTTACTCCATCTCCTCTGGGGGGATCTTAAGGCATTCCCAGACCAGCCAAGAGATAGTGGCTTTTTCTCAATATGCGTTCTTCAGCGGTCTTGCATTTTAGTGTAACGTCATCATCAGCTGCGAAAGTTCAGTTCCAATACTCAAGACCGCAAGAAAAGAGTACGTGTGAAACTTCCCGGATGTGTTCTTGAAATGGAGGATGCACCGATGCAGACTTGAGCACCGATCCTGCTCTAGAAGTCTCAGATGTCATTGCGACTGGAGGTCGGAAGCGCAGCATTTTATTTAGATTTATTATTAAAGTTCAGAGATATAACTTATTTATCTCGGGAGTTTCCCGAAATGAAACGGTGTATATAAACATTACCATGGACATCTTAATAAAGGAATAAACACATTAAGGGTGTTTGTTTGCTGAAATTCGTATTAAAATCTGTTTTATTTGTATTGTGCAATGCATATTTATAATGATTTTAAGCACAGTACATATTTTGAAAAGGGGAAAAACAATAAATCATTAAATGAATGCTGTAATGTATAAATAATTTTCCATTTAAAACTTTTGAAGGTCATGTGATCATCTGGAAAAACGCAGCATCTCCTTTCTCAGAGGACACGTTTTCTGTTCTCGCGGTCTTCCGTTCGTTCTTCCGAAGTAACCTGGCAAAACCGGTCTCCACAAGAACACAAGTCCGTTCTCTGCGTTCTTGGAATTACTGTAAGAAACAGCCATAGACCCTCCAGCGTGTCTTGGGTCCTCCCCAAGGCCTCCTCCCGGTGGGACATGCCTGGAACACCTCCCTAGGTAGTTGTCCTAGAGGCATCCGAAACAGATGTCCGAGCCACCTCAGCTTACTTCTCTCGACGTGAAGGAGCAGCGGCTCTACTCCGAGCTCCTCCTGGGTGACAGAGCTCCTCAACCTGTTTATAAGGGTGCGCCCTGCCACCCTGCAAAGGAAACTCATTTCATCCGCTTGTATCCAACTCTAGATGTAAAAACTATTTGCTTGTGCAAACCTATTGATGATGGTAATGGCACTGGAAATGATTGTATTCTATATTCCTGGACTTATCTGTGATCAGCTGTGTGTACATAACATTTTGGAAATGATACAGCTTGCTTGGAAGTTCTAGTGGTACTAAAACAAATACCACGTTCTAGATACACAGCACAATGAAAATGCCCTTAAAAGTGAGCCATGCCATATCATGCAGTGTAAAAGTGCCTAATGGTACATTTAGTCCTGGTTCATCTAGTGTTTACACACCTGCAGAACAACCAAAGCAATGCTGTGTGCTGGACTGAACACACACATTGTATATGTGCACATTTGATGATGTTTATATTTTTAATCAACGTTTTGAGCACTCATAAAAATCAGCAATAAAATAATCCTTCATTTCCTTCATCTAATGCCTGTAATAAACCCAAATACACATTTGAGACCGTGGTGAGAAAAATAAAACACATGTATTTCCTTTTTATAGTCAGATCTTCTGACATCATGTCCTTTTTTCGAGATGCCTTTGTATTTATAGTTCAGTCTATCATACCAGAGTTTGTTTGGAAGCAGGATGAGACCCAGGTTTTCTGCTTCTTTTACAAAATTTCAAGTGGCAGAGCTCACATTTATCAATATGAAATGTACTGACAGAGCAGTCACACCAGTCACATCAAGCCAGAGCTGCCAAGTGTGAACACTCCCTTAAGATGTAGGTGCTACTTTCCATAGCCAGCTCTGGTTAATGAGAGGAAATGTCTT